CCCGCTGATCTCAGGTACCACATCGCGGTCGCGTGCCAGAATCTCTCGATGGCGTTCGTCCAGAAGGCTGTGGCGGAGTGTCGTGATAGTACTTAATATGCTCTTCAATATGGTAGTAAAAATGTCCGATCAGAATTTGATAAAGTGTAACTTATAGCGCCTCGAAAGTCAATGAGGCAAAGTGACTTTTTTTTGGCCCCCCTGTACATTGCTATCAGGCACCAAATATGTCCAGTGAGTTTCATGTCTCTCAAGATTACTTACTATGGAAAATCGGGCATTTGGAGGCATAGCAGATGAAGAGATGCGGAGTAAGATGCGGCCTCTTGGCCAATTCAGGAAAGTCGTGCTCAACACAAAATAATTATGTGAAATATTACCTTCAGGAACCAGATATATCCGAGGAGGTAGACGTAGACGAGAATAGTCGGAAATATGAAGGCACTCAAACATAACACATAAAGTGTATACATTTGTGTAGGAAAAGGATGAACGAAACGGAATGCGACACTTTTGATTTGGCCATTATCCATTTGATATCCTTTGAACTAAAATATAGCCGTTATATCAGGGTTTCAAAAGGCTGCGAATACAATATGGCATGTGATGTACACCACTCCTATTCTGTAGTTCGCTCAATAGTCGACCACTTCTTCTTTCGTGGAGGAACGCTCGGGAAGGCGCAACCAGGTTGTGCTCCAGGAAAATCGAGGACTATGTTAGGCGGCGCGTCGTGAACGGGACGCGCCAGCTTGCAGTCGTTTGTTGGGTAGCTTTCATTTTTCTAGGGAAAAAGGTGCACAGGGCAGATCTTGTCGTTGGAGAGGGAAGAATTTTCGCAAAGTACGGCTCCACACGATTTCCTTCTGTGGGTAAAATATGTGGAGGTGCGTGAGGTTTGCTGGATGTTTCTGCGACGACAAATTAGAGTTTTCCTATCTGACTGACTTAATACGCTATCACGCTGAGTCTATAAGGTCCTTACACGTCCCCCTCCCTCCCCCCCCCTGCCGCTTCCCCTCTTACCTACGACCTTCCTAAAATTTCCCAACTTCTTATCAGTTTTCTTTCCAATAATTCCTCCACCTCCTGAAAAAAAAACTACCGTCGAGCGAGGTAGAGGGGAGCGTACCCTGAGGTTGGGTGGTCCCCTTAGTATACACGAAAACAACTTCAGAATGTGACGAGGCGGGTTCCAATGGCTTGATATCTCCCCTCCTTGCAGCCCTATCTCTCTGGAGAATTCCACTTCATCGTGATTTTAACGGGAGATTGCAGACTGGGTGACACTTCGAGGTCCCCTTTGATTAACAAGAAGCACTACCTGCACTATCTGACTATTTGTGCACATGATAACCTAGTTCTCACGGAAACATACCTCAATAGGGTAAACGATCGGGATCGAAACAAGTATTGTAATAATCCACACTATACTAGTAATTCGAGAAGCAGTTGGACGCCGCCATAGCTGAAATAGCTTATACATTTTCAATAATAGTTGCAATGGTGTTATTGCACATATTACAGAATAAAAATAAATTTTTCGGTGGAAAGTGTTTCTAGAGTGAGCCACACACCCTACTTTGATTCAGAATCGTGGGTTGCATTTGAGTGC